AGGGCTTTGGCCCTATCGACTTTGGAGTTTTTGTAAAGAGCCTGGTTGTTTTTTGTTAAAATTTTGTTTTTTTTTTTAATAAATTCCGGGTGTAAACTAGAAAGAGTTTTTTCTATATATAAATTTTCAAGTGGCAAAGTCAAAATTTTTACATTTTTATTATATGTACAAGATTGGTTTGATCTTGGTATACAATATTTTAAACCAAACTTTTATTACCTCAAATCAAGTAGTTGGTTTGTCTGTTACATGGAACTAATTTAAAATACCACCTTGCAATTTTTAGATCGCTGTTCTAAATCTAACAAATTTAAGTTTTTTTTTTTGGATCTATTAAGTGGCAAGCCTGCTATTTTAGCTACATTATATTAGGAATTACATAATAAGAATATGAAACAAGTTAAGCAATAAATGGGTAATATATTTATTTAAAAAAATAGATTATATATTTATACTATATAATACTAATTAAATCGCTATTTCTCTTTAAAAATAATATTTGTGAAACAGTTTTGGGACTAAGACGAGTTCATTTTGGTATTACTTGGTTTCTAGCATCAGAAAATAAGCGTTCACTCGGCACTAAAGTAGCTGGTATTGATAAGTATTTTTTTGCCAGTTGACTTAAATGTGGAAAAAGTTTTTCTCATTCTTTCTACCATACTAAAGGTTGTATTGTTTCGGGTACTTTGTTAATATTCAAATATTTATCCAACTTATTAGATGATCATTATTAAAAATTGATGCAAAATAATGATTAGTTGATGTAATTGTACTAGAAGAAGTAGTGGTTTGTATAGGTTTGTCAGTGATAATCATATTAAGTTGTTTACTTTAATTGTATCTTCACATAAATAAGCAGGCCAAGGTCGCATTTGCTTAAGTCTTGGGTTTAACAAAGTTGCTAAAAGACCTATATTACTTAGATTATCCCAATATCTCCAAAGTGAATGATAAATAGCATTTTTAACATCATTAATTATTAGTTCGATATCAAATATTTCTGGTAAATTGGTAAGGTTATCTTCATTATCACTATCACTATCTATGTTTAATTCTAAAAACACAAATATTATTTATTAGTATTTTTAACAAATAAAAAACTTATCATTATAGTAAAAAAATTTTTTTTACCAGATTTATTGAAAATATCTTCAGCTAAATTCGAATCTATATATGTAGAAAACTCAAGTTTTAAAACTTCAATAGTAGGATATACAATTGACAATGTAGGAAATTTTTCAGCACTAAACGCCTCTGTTGCTTGATCAAATAGTTCAAAAATTTTAATTAGCTCTCTAATTAACTTCCATTCACTTTCATTAGGTAAATAGTGTCTGAGTTTTTGACCATCTTTTTTATCATCTGAATTTCTAGCAATTTTTAAATTTGCTTCTAACCATATAATTGCATCTTTCAATTTAAATAACCTTTTCCAAGAATGGTATTGTGAGTTCTACCAAGTTGGACAATCTTTAATTAAATGAAGAGGTTTGGAAGGTTTGCTAGTATTTCTATTTTGTTGTTTATCAGAATTCTCATTTTCAGAATTAAATTCAAAACAAGTTAATTCGGGTAAAGATAAATTATCTCGTTCCTTTACTATAGCTTGGGCTTTTATTAATTTTTCTTGTTGTTTTGAAAAATTGAAAAAATAAACAAGCTTTTTTATTTTTTTTGTTTGTTTACTAATTCTCTTTAATGCAAAATTAACTATTAATTGTAATGTATGTGTAGCACAAAGAAGTTGAGTAATAGAGTTCCACATTCAAGTAGCTTTTATCATATTGGTGCCATTGTCCGTAATAGCACATATAATTTTATTTTCAAGGCCAAATTCATTACATTTTATTGAAAGAAATTGATGAATAGCTTCTGCAGTATGTGGATATGCCATTTTTTCACAGCACAATAATACACTATGTAATAACCAATTCGAATCTATCTAATGGCAAGTAATACCAATATAACCTTGGTTATTATGTGAAGTTCATAAATCAGCTGTAATTGAAGCCGTTTTACAAGTTGATGCTATTTCGTATCGAAGACCTTCAAAATTTTTAAAATAATTAATTGCAATTTCATTTTTTATTGTTCTATCTGAAGGTGGATGAAATCTTGGATCAACTTTTACCATCATACGACGAAAACCTTTTTTTCTTGATGCTAATAATGGTTGGTTATCAAGAATTATTCATTTAACAACTGCCTTGTTTAATTCATCAAGTTTATCACCTTTATATTGAATATCATTTTTAACTATTTCAGGTAATGTAGTTTGCCGTGCTTGTTGAATTTCAGTATTTAATTTTTTGGGATCAACAATATTATGTGATGATTGTAGATGTGCGATTATATTTGATCATGAAGATATTCAGCTTCACATTTTTTATCAACTCCATATTTTTTAATCATAATTTGGCATGTCTTTATTTTCGACTACTCTGAAGTAATCCCACACAAAACTCTTTTGACTTTTAATCTTTCTTTTTTTTAATTTTTTTTTAGTTGATATGGTTGTTGAAGAAGGTATACTATTACTATTATTTTCAATATCACTTTTATTAGTATCAATAGTTTTTTGAATACTGGAATTATATTCATCTTGAAAATTCATTTTTTATATAATAAACTATATACAAAACAATACTTGAATAGAAGACTACGTAATGAATTTGTAAATATGAGGTAATAGTATAGTAATAATGTTTAAGTTTTTGATACAAATAATATCTAATACTAAGTTTCTTTATTAATATCAAACGAATATTTAATATTTAATTTACAAATTTTATAATTTAAGAAGCTATATTAAATATAGATGAAAGGTATATTTTAGAATTTTTATATTATTTAATAGTTAAAGTTTTTTTTGTTAACGAATTTTGAATTTTAGAAAAAACGTGCTATTTAAATACATTTTGGTTTTTTGTACCTTTTTTTTGATGCGCTGGGCACCATCTTTGTTCTTTTGTGAATTTACTAATATTTTTATCATTTTTAGAATTGGCAATAGATCTAATGTCGAATCAATAGAACTCAAGAGACACACTCTATATCATTGAAATTATCAAGATTTTGTGATCGTATAAATATTTTCTATCATGCCTTAATGAAGAATTTCAATGAAATCAATAAACTTATTAGATAGATACTTATCTATTGAGATTGAGATCT